TCAGATTTCTCCTTTTTCTACCAGATACGCATTGGGTATCACTTAAACGAAAAATTCCTGTTCCACGAGGTCTAGTGGAGGTAATTTTGTTTTCAACCTGCATCTCTTGTACTAATAGATCGGGGATTTTTCGCTTCCACGATTTCATGGGAAGCATAATTATGCTATATCTGGTTGTCACGAGCTTGACATTGTATTGAACCAGGTAAGTAGGCAAATACTATCTCGTAGTCTTGATCTGCAGATTCTAGAGTACATAATTGATGATTATGTCCGATATTGGTACGCCCACCTAACAAGTGAAACGGAATTTCCCGATCAATTGCACGCAGCCATTGCACAACTGGCAAGTAAGGTTGCGAAACGCGCCCAACGAATTGACTGGGTGCCTTTCATGATTGAAGGCATCCCAAACATGGTTATCGAACATCTTCGTATTCACCGTAGATCATTGGAAAGACGACCACTGGCTAATACTGAAGGTTCGTCAAGCCTTTCTTTCTCTTGATCTTCTCCTAGAACAAATCAAGCTCTTTTTCGACGAAGAAGTTGAAATGGAAAAACAGATATGTCGTGAGGCTATTTGCACTTCGAAAACCAGGGAGCGAAGTAAGTGATCAGTTTTCTTTTCGGCATTCTCCGGCCTTAGATCATCTCCGAAAGGTGACGGATGTATTTCTTTTTGCGATCATGCCGGAAGAGGACTACCGAATAGTAACAGTGCGCTACCTAATTAAGGTACTTCGGTTTCGACCTACCCGACTTTCCACCTTGCAGGAGATCCTTGTAAATGGTGTTCTACTTCCAGCTGTTAACATTCTTGCCGATTCGGACTTTGTAAATCAGTCCATTATCAAACTGGTAAGTGATAGGTGTGCTGACCCAACTGCGAGTGGCTTTTTCACCTTTAGTGCAACGAATCCGCATTTGCTAGTCCCTACTTCATCCAATCCCTGCGGATGTCGACACGAGAGGACGAGTTACAGGCGGTGAAGGAGCGCATTGAAATTTTCTCTGCCAAATTACGTGGTCACGATTCTGGTGGTGATGATGGTATGTTCGATCTTGGCATTGCAGTTGTTGTGTGCAAATTTAGATTGAGTCTGTCTGCAAATGCTTGTAGTCTCCGTTGGGAATGCTGTGAGACTAGTGACATGGATGGCTCACAAATAGCGTTATACTTTGGAGGTTTGCTTTTCTATTAATCTCCTTTTCATTACTCTAATCTTCCTCCCCATCAAGTATGCTTGGTGAGAATTCAAGTTTTGATTCATGCTTTAGCTTGGTTCCTGTTCCATTTTCATTTCCCAAGCATTTTCCCACTGTATGCATTTGTGACGTATTGATAATTTTATCCAGAGAAAAGACAGTAGGACCCACTTGCTGAAATGAGAGACTGTGGTGAGGCTGTGCGTCACGTCGTCTTCTAAAGTACTAAGATCTTTGTGAATCTTATGTTGTGCTATGCACGAGTCAAGTTGTTTTGCGATTGTGGATTTTAAACATTAAGTGAACATCAAAGTCATTTACACTTCTTAATAAGAGCTGCCTTTGTGATGTTTGGATACAAGTTGCGTTCAAAGGAGGACTGCTTTCTATTGTTACATTCTGTTGTAGTGTCTACTGAACAATTCGAGGTGGTTCTTTTGAGATGAATTTAGTGATAAGTGTTGGGAGCTTGAGATGTATTGCTACATGGAATCCAATCCAGTCCAGACACTTGCTTATGTTGAAAGACAATAGTGGTCGTAGCTATGTACATATAGGCAATGAAGAGTGCGTGGTCTCGATTGCTGCTTCTTGCTGATGGAGAAGGCCAAGAGTGCATTTTTATAC